TTACGTCGCTGGATTCCCCACATAGTCGACTGCGGTTCAAATCCTGGACCTGGGAGCTTAAAACTCACACCAGGCGTGTGTCCGTACATGCGTGCCAAAAAATCCCAAGAGGAAAATGGAGGAAGAGGGATTGCAGTGTGACCATCTCCACCGGGGGTCATTTCTTGCTTTCTATCTCTCTTTCTCTCTCCAGCAAGCATACACACCCTATATAAAAAAATCTTTCTCTTAAAAAAAAAAAAGGTTCACATGTTTTCATTTCAAGCTCAACCTAAAAGCAGTTATTTTTTCTGCTGGCTGCCTGCAGACAAAATATCCTCCAAAGTGGTACCAAGTTATCATCCATGTTAGTTTAGTGCTAAGAGTGGTTTATGTGCTCCCAGTCTTGCATACCCTTGACAGACCCCAGGTAGTCACAGTACTGCTATCCCACTCCTGGCATGATTCTGTCCACAGTTCAACTACTCTGTGGAGTGTAGCCCTCAGTTCTAGCTCTTTGTTAATCACTGTCTTCCCCTCTCCCTTCCAAACGTAAATATACTGGTTTTCAAATCTCTACCCATCACCAGCACATCTTTAAGATCGTAGTTCAGATGTCAATCATTTCTCTACCATAGATAATAATTACCCATTGAAAGTGATCATTTTGGGGGGACAATACATTGGAAATCAATGGTTTGATCAACTTTAATCTTTCTATTGTCAGAGGCCTCTTGGATAAGTTGTTGCACGAGACTAAATCACTTGTCCAGAACTTACACGTGGTCTATTGTCTATAGGTCTATATAGATCTGTATTTCCATGGTGTTTTTCACCACAAAATATTAAACCTGTGATGTAACTTTGCTGTCCATCCCACCTCCAAAAATAGCTCTCGAGGGGAAGACATGTACATTCATCTTTCCATCACATGAAATTCTTTGTTCAGTATAACAAAGTTAGTAAATACAGGGCAAAATCCACAGCTTCTTTCTTCAGAGTGCTTCTCTGTAAGCTGGAGAATTTATGCTAGTTATTATTTGACAGGATTAGACTGTCCTATCCATCAGGACAGATTATAAGTATAAAAGTTGCATGGATTAGGTTTGGATGCCTTGTACGTGATACTTCTGGCCTAGCCCAGTGTTCATAATTCTGGTTTTCTCTTGCATGGAGCTTTAAGTGGGACTCCTGCATGGGAATAGCCTGATAGGTAGGCAGTGGTTTTACCTGCTCTGTAAAGGTTTTGCCTCTAAGAGGCAGCGGACCATTGCTGCCCAGTGTGGTCCAATATGTGGCACTTGAAATATGAGTATGAAATAGGAATAGTAGACTAAGCAGTTGAATTTTTCTTCATCTTAAAAAATCATATGGGGCCAGCAGATGGTGTAGAGGTTAAGACAGCTGGATACCACATGGCCAACTGCATAGTTCAAGTCCCAGACCAAGTGGCTTGAAAAACACGCTGAGCATGTGCGTTTGCATATTTGTGCACGTGCATGCTCAAAATCTTGAGAGGAGGAAGGAGAAGGGATTGCAATGTGCTGTCTCCCCTAGGGGATGCTTTCTCACTATCCCTCTCTGTCTCTCCCCAATAAGCATGTGTGCTCTATAGCAAAAATTAAAGGTGTGATACTGGTGGTGACCATGGTTTTTGAAACTACCATCACAAAAAAGATGGATATTAACAAATCTCCTTTCAACTAGTAGCTTGGATGTTGACCATTGCCAAACCATAGATAATAATTAACTCATTAAAATCGATCATTTTGGGGAAAGACAGATTTGAAGTTAATAGTTGGTTTAAATCTAATCTTTCTAGCATGTCAAGAGATTCTTGTATGATAAATTATTGGGTTAGGTTAAATCACTTAGATTTATGTAGATACATTGTCATGAGGCTTTCTAAAAAGTAATTTATGGAAGAGAGATGTTTAACCATGCAGGGGTTCCCACAACTGACTGGAGAAGAAGAGTTTAGCCAAATGTTGATGTCCTGTAACGCTTCGATTTTAAATCTGAAGCTTGAATAATTCAGAAAAGCAGAAATAGATTATACTAATGGTTTTTTCAACATTTTTAACCCTTCGTGAATTTGTCTTAACTACCATCTTAGAGAATTGGGAACATAATTGTCATTGACTTGATAATACCTTCAAATTTTATTTTTTCAGAATGCAAACATTTGAAATAACTATGGTTTTGAAACTCTCTCTTTACTAAATGAGGGCACCCTTTTCCAGTGGCTAGCCTTCTGTACCAGTCCTATCTTCATTATGAAGGTAATCAAGGAAATTGCTTAGGGAGTATAGAATTGTGTAGAAAGAATTTCATCTAGGCAACAAAAACCAGGTTATCCCTAATCCATACCAGCAGCCAGAAAGAGGCTTCTAATTCTTAAATCAGAAGCAGTAGTTCCTGTTTATTATTTTTTTAGGTTTTGCTATAGGGCACATGTACACACGAGAGAGAAAAAACAGAGAAATCCCTCCATGGGGGGCTGGCTATGCCACAGTCCCTTCTCATTTTTCTCTCAGGATTTTGGGCACACACATGGCCAGTGTGGTTTTCAAGCTGCAGGGCCCAGGACAGGGGAACACATACTGGGCCATGTGGAATCCAGCCACTTGAACCTCCATGCCACCTGGTGGTTTGTTTTTATTTCTTTTTCCCCAAACCCTGGGGCTGTATTAAAATTGCTGTCAATCATGTTGGATCCTAACACTAAGCTGGGGGCTAACCTGGCCCTCCAGAGTGTTGTTGATATATTTTTTTCACCCCTCATTTCACTGTTAATTCTCATTTTCGTTATTAATCGTAATTATAAACTAAGCTTAGTTTCTCTTTTCAGACAAGGAAACTGATGCACTGAGAGGTAACTTATTTATTTAGGAGAGGTTTTTGCTAAAGGGCACGTGCACTCGTCAGAAAGACAGGGACAGACAGAAAGTGAGAAATCATCTCCCCCAGGGGAGGGGGGCAGCGGTGGCCATGCTGCAGTCCCTCCAGTCTCCTCTCGGGATCTTGGGCACACACGAGACCGGTGAAAGTTTAAGCCACTGGGTCCAGGACTTGAACCACAGTTTACTACATGGGAATCCAGTGACATAGCCATTACGCCAACTGCTGGTCCCGTGGTAACTTATTTATTAGGACATTGTTTTCGGTATCTGGGAATAAAATACACCTTGGTTATGGTTTTATATTCAGTTACACTACCACATTCAAACCCATCCTGATAACCTGCTCGATGTGCTTACTCTGGCTTTTTAGTTTGTAATGTTATATTTAAGGCCTACTTGATAAAACTTTAAAAAGCTTAAATTTACGGGCCAGCAGGTAGTACGGTTAAGGGTGCTAGACTACTACTTGGCCAACCACAGTTCAAGTCCCAGACCTAGTAGTGGCTTACTTTCTTCCTCTCACTCACTCTGTCCCTTTCTGGTCAAATTAAAATAAATAAATAAATTTTTTAAAAGCTTAAATTTCAGGCCATCTTACATTTCATTTGTATCGCTGTAGTTGGACTCAAGGGTATCAATGTCAGCCATTAGTATTTCTGCTAAGGCTTTGCTAACAACAATTAGGTGACTTCACACTGCATATCTGGGTTTGTCAGTTACGCTCTTGAAGGAGTGATGCTGGTGGGAGGAATGGAACCCTGTCCACATGAAGAATGAGAAGGCCAGCAGCACATGGTATGGTAGTTAACGTGACTGTAGGGTCAAGTCCTAGACTGGTGGCTTGAGAAATATTCCAAGAGGAGGGAGAACTAGAGGAGAAGGGATTACAACCTGACTCTGCCCCATAGGATGTGCTTCCCCACCCCCCACCTTGGAGCTTTGTGCCCCCCTCAAAACAAACAAACACTAGAGATGCTGTGTTGACCTGTTCAGCATTAATTGATCATCGCCCTTAGTGATGGCATGTCCATAGGCAAAGATATCTTGCTTTTCTAACCAGGGTGTTAAAATATGTTACATACTGAGAGAGTATTTGCTTTCTTTTATCTCAGGGTTTAGAGAAGAGGTAGGAGTTGCTGAATTACTGTCTGCCAGAAACTTCTCTGCTGGGGACTGCTGAGTTTCTTGCAGCTCACCTTAAGTAGGAGAGGACACGTGTGCTGGCTTGGAGCTCTCATGGCCAGCAGCTCCTGGCAGTAGCGAGGGAAGAGGGCGGGCAGAAATGCTGTCCTGTCTATAAGAACAACCCTACACATACTGGAGACTAAAGATTGTTCAGACTTGATGTGCTTTTCCAGGGAGAACTGCTTAAGTTTACCTGAAAGTAATATATTAAGGCAATTTGAAACAATTTTATTCAAGATGGTTAAGACACATTACCCTTCATATTGTTTGTCGTGACCTTTTTGTTGTAGTTCTTTTTAAATGTGAGTGCATTTCAACCTATCGTGGCCGACATGTTTTTATTTAAGATAGACATAGCACCAGCCCATGGCTTGGTGAAGGTGGCTGGGTTCCACATGGGCAACCTTGCTGTTCTCCAGGACCCAAAATCCGGAGAGGAGAGAGAAATGGAGAAGGGATTGTGGAGGGTTCTCCCCCACGTGCCCCCCACCCCTACCCACCATAGTCCTAGTGAGCACACATACCCATAGCCAATTAAAAAAAAAAAAAAGTTTTCTGACTAAAGAATTTCTGATTTAACCATGGACCTCAGTGCATTCAGCTCTTGGGCCAATAACCAAGTCTCTCCTTTTATCTTTTATTATATAAGAATTGAAATGTTTATTAATTGAATCTGGTCATTTAAATATTTTCATTAGATACAGAATGATTTAGTAATGTGACCGTGTGAATATTGAATTCTGATTTCAGGTAGATGGTATTTACAAAGGCTGTCAGTTGGCTTTTTTTGTGGTGTAATGTGTGCTCCAAATCATTCTAATGAAACTTAAAAATGGATTATCTACAGTAGAGTGGCAGCTTTGCAGACGTTTGAGAATGTCTATGTCCATAGCATGTCTCAGCTGGAAATAACACGGTAACTGGATCTTGCAGGTGCTGTTGGTGAGTAGCAGTCGGTATCCAGACCAGTGGATTGTCCCAGGAGGAGGAATGGAGCCTGAGGAGGAGCCCGGCGGTGCTGCTGTGAGGGAAGTCTATGAGGAGGTGAGATGGATAGGTTACTTGTTCTCCTTTCACACAAACTGTATTTTCATGTTCTATAGGAAGGTCTTCTGTGTGAGGTTTAATTAACAAAGAAGCATTTGGGTACACAACTGAGAAGGCAAGAAGGCAGGCAGGTCACAGGAGTGCTTTTGTGTTGTCTGATGCAACATTTTTGAACACAGCTAAAGTTAGCATTTTGCTAAGGAGGTATTTTCTCTACCTGGTAAGCTAGAACAAAAATCAACGTAGGAGACCCCCAGAATTGTATAATCTGCCACCACTGCATGCTGATTGGATTTCTCGTTTGCTTGGTTGGTTTGGTTGGTTTCTTTAATGGTTGATGTATAAAATGATCTTGCCTAAAAGCAAAGCATTACTTTGAACAAGAAAGCCAGAGGCATCAATCATCGGCTGTAATTCTGTTTCAAACAAGTAGGAAACAATTTGCTTTTATTTTACCTGTTTTGGCTTAAAACTCAGTACAATGTGGCACATAGTCATACACAAAAATAAACACAACCTGCTTGTCTCCCCACGGTCAGTATGATAGGACTTGCTTTTTTAGAGGCAAAAGTGCCACATGAAGTTACTAGACAGGAATTCTGGTATGAGGGGGAAGCAGCTGCTAGAGCTCTCACTGAGCTTTGGGCACTATAAGAAGGGTTTCAGAGAGACGTGTCTCCAAGGATGAGCAGCTTCCTGCGGGAAGAACACAGCAGAGGCAGAGGGAACAGCAGGTACCAACCTGTGAGTTTGTGTGGATTTCAGTTGAACGGGGAATACATGAAATTCTTGTCAGTCTGTTACTGTGCCAAGTGAGTAGAAGGGTGTCCTATGGAGAGAATTCAATCTCCCAAGCCATGAAAAAGATGCAAGGAGCCACTATCTTTAAGGGAGAAGACTTATTTGTTCATATAGAAAAGTCTGTTTCCATTCATGACATTGGTCCCAAATTGGTAGAAAGTCTCATTTTTGATTAGTGTTTCCACTTACAGAATAAACAACAATAAATTTCGTAGGAAGTTATATGTGAAAGCAAGTAAGCCGTGATTTATAGCAAACCAGAGCTTGTGAATCTTGGCACAAAAACTTCACCAAAGCAGAAAGGTAGTGACGTGGTATAGAGGAGGTCCTATTGTGTTGAGATTAAAACATTGAAATAGCCAGAATATAACTTTCCTTAATGAGAGAGAAGACAGTGGGCGGAAGGAAGCGAGACTGAAGTAGGCATTGTTGCCAGTGTCTCTGTGTTGCAGTCCTTCAGGGCTGGCCTCCCAACCAGCCAGGACCACCGGCACATGCAGCTGCAGCTCGGTGTTCAGGTCGTTCTGGGAATCAAACCCACACCCCTCATGCAGCTGCCAGTGACCTAGGCAGCCGTGCTACATTTATGACACCACGGCTGGGACATGTAACTGTTATGTTAATTTCATTATTATGAAAAGCTGAACATTTTACACTTTTCCTTTTTCAATAGGCTGGAGTCAGAGGAAAATTAGGCAGACTTCTGGGCATATTTGAGGTGAGTTACAAAAGTAACCCCCCCTTGCTGATCATAGTACTAGTGATTCTCTTCTCAAGAGCCAGGTAATTTGGCAGCAGCCTGAACCAGTTATTCCTCTAAAACCATCAGTAGGTAAGTCAGTCATAAGGATTAGGAAGAAGAAAAGTAAAAGACACTTAACCTTTTCATATACAATTGGTTTTATACAACATTATTATGGTAATAATGACTTTTGTTAGACAGTACAGTGGCACAGACACAGAAAGATTTATCTTAGTTCACCATAATTTGACCAGAGAGGGAAAAAGCAAGCCACCAGGTCCAGGACTCAAACCATGGGAGTCCAGTGCCTTAACCATTGTGACACTGCCAGTCCCAGGTGTAGCTTTTGGGAACTACTGTGGTATCACCTGTAGGTTCTGTCTGGAAATGTTCACATTATCTTCAAATGAAACTTTAAAATGTTTCTGGTACATTTGAATTAGACTGAGTTTGTTTTGGTGCAAATTTGGAAATTCATGAGTAGTTTTCCATAAGAAGCATTTTCCATGAGCTTTTTGAAGACCCTCCTCATATGTATTGACTTTATCCTTAAAAGACTGAACATAAAAAACTCAGGTTCAGGACCAGCAGTTAGCGTAATGGCTATGTCGCTGGACTCCCATGTAGTCGACTGCAGTTCAAGTCCTGGACCCGGTGGCTTAAACTCACACCAGGAGCGTGTGTGTGCATGCCCAAGATCCCGAGAGGATAACGGAGAAGGGATTGCGGCGTGGCTTCCCCACCCCACCCGGAGGAATGATTTCCACTTTCTTTCTATGTCTTTCTGGCGAGCACATGCACCCTATAGCAAAAACCTTTCCCTCCCAAAAAAACACCTCAGTTTTGTGGAGTAGATGGTAGGTGCTTCTTTTCCCATATAATCTCTACTGAGGGCAGAACAGAATTTCCAGTGAAGGGATTTGAAAGTTGGTGGGTACTTCATAGAAGGCAGGGAGAAAGGAAGGTCCAATTCTTTTTTTTTTTTTGAGAGATTTTCTCTATAGGGCACACACGCTCGCCAGACAGAGAGAGAGAGACATAGAGACAGAAAGCAAGAAATCACCCCCCGGGGGGATGGTCATGGCACAATCCCTTCTCCTCTCGGGATCTTGGGCGCACATGCACCCGGCGTGAGTTTTAAGCCACTGGGTCCGGGGCGCGAACCGCGGTTGACTACGTGGGAGTCCAACGACATAGCCATTACGCTAACTGCTGGTTTCCAAGGAAGGTCCAATTCTGAGATCCATGCTATTCCCAAGTACATTTTCTTCCCAAATTCAAACCAACATATATAGTATACCAGAAACATGGTAACTTTCCTTTTAAAAGACACTATTAGGTTAGCTCAGTCTTCTTAGTGGATTCTAAAATTTTATTTTTTTTAAGTTTTTAGAAATCAGAAAACTCAACTACATAGCACTTGGTTGATTCTGACTAAAGTCATTAATAAAGTCCTTGAGACCAGCAGATTTAGCAGTTATGTCACTGAACCTCCACATGGCTGACCACAATTCCAGTCCTGGACTCAGGAGCTTGAAAATGTCATGTGTGCGTGTATCCAAGATCCCAGGAGAAGAGATCGTGGCATGACCATCCCCCCTCCCGGGGGGTGATTTCTCACTTACTCTCTCCTTACTGTCTTTGTTTTCCCAGACCCACACAAGTGCCCTAGGGCAAAAACCTCTTTAAAAAAGTGAAGTCTATAAGGTACTCTTCAGACTTTTCCAGAACTCAGCACTTGCCTTTCCCAGTTGAACAGCACCATCTCCTGGTTAAACTGAAAAAAACGTAATTTTTTTTTTTTTTATGATTCAAATTCTGATTCCAATATTGTAATGTAAATAATACATTTGTCAATATGCTGACAAGTTTTTTTGAGGAAAACTTTTCACATAATAAAGCTTATATAATATTGGAAGGTAACAAAGACTATTAAGTACCTTACAAATAGTGTTTTAACAGAAAATATCAATGTACTTTTAGAAAATATAAGGGGGGTAACTTTTAAAAAGAACAAATGAACAAAATAATATAAGAGGAGAATTAGAATTGCCTTGTCCACTTCACTCCACTGATTTTAATAAATCTGTGAATCTGTGAATGCATCACAGTAAATCTGTTTGCCAGAGAACAACAGATTCTTTTTTTTTCTCTCTCTCTCTCTTTTTTTGGGGGGAAGGTTTTCGCTACAGGGCGCATGTGCTCGCCAGACAGAGACAGACAGAAAGCGAGAAATCACCCCCCAGAAGGGATGGTCACGCTGCAATCCCTTCTCCTCCATTCTCCTCTCGGGATCTTGGGCACGCACACACACGCGCCCGGCATGAGTTTTAAGCCACCAGGTGCGAGACGGGAACCGCAGTTGACTACGTGGGAGTCCAGCGACATAGCCATTACGCTAACTGCTGGTTCCCAAGAACAACCAATTCTTAAAAATAGTGAAAAGTAAGGTTTTAAATGAGAAGTCTCTGATTTATTGTTCTCTATTCTTTCCAAAGATGTAATGTACTGTTTTAAGTGAATGTGTTCAGTTTTCTTTAGAAAGAAAAATCAGTAATTATCTAAATTGTACTGTAGCAACAGGGCCGAACTTTTCAGGATCTGAAAGCCAACTTGTGTTTAATTTTTAACCTAGAGACAAGTCTAAGTGACAATTTTAATACGAGTAAAAATCAAGCAAGTCTAGGACTACAGGATATTCCAGAAATGAGCTAACCTAGGTATTTCTCAAATCAGTTTATCTAAGGACTTTAAAAATTCCAACACTTTAGGGTTCATCCCCAGACTAATTGAGTTGCTGTCACTTATAAAAAGCTCTAGTCTAGGTTGGTAGGGATGCACTTTATGTGCATCTTAATAAACCTCTAAGAAGAGTGTTCTCAAGGAACTGGGTCTGCTTGCTCTACAGAAGTCCTGTAGGAAGCAATTTTCCATAGCATTTAAAGGTTCTCAAGGGCTGGCTCCATGGCCTGAAGGTTAAGGTGGCCAGATCTCCAATGGCTGACCCAACCTCATAGTTCAAGTCCCAGACCAAGTGGCTTGAGAAACACCAGATATGTTTGTGTGCATGCCCAAAATCCTGAAAGGAAGGAGAGATGAAGACGGGATTGCAGTGTGACTATTCTCTGTGAAGGGTGCTTTCTCCTCTCCCTCTGTCTCTGGTGAGAAACACATACCTCTTAGCAGCCAGAGAGACCAGAGTCAGAATTAGCCCCAGGGACTAGGACCTAGGATAAAGACTACAGGAATACAGTTCTTTTAATATAGATTCCATTCAACCTTAAGACTTTTTTTAATGAAAAGACATTATGGAACATACATGGATTTCAAAATGTTTTGCACCTAAATAAACTGGTAGTTTAATTTCCATTTCCATAAACTTAAAAATTTAATATTGGGAATTAATTCACCATTGGTGGTAAAGCTCCTATTTCAATCTTTTATCCTTTTAACTTTGAGGTGTTTTACTGGAACAAACACCCAAGAATTGTGCCAGGGGTGGGGAGTAGACCGCATTCACGAGCATGGGCCAGAACCAACTCTGTTGTACCCATGGCTAGTTCCTGGAGATTAAAATGCTTTTCTTTTTATATTCAAGCAGAATCAAGACCGAAAGCACAGAACATATGTTTATGTTCTTACAGTCACTGAAATACTAGAAGATTGGGAAGATTCTGTTAATATAGGTAAGTTCCTGTTCCTTTCACTGTCTGGAGTCTCTCAATTCAGATACCAAATACTTGAATCCAACTTCCATCTGAAATTATTTTTGGTTAGTTTTATTTTAGAGGAGGGAAAAGGAATATACATCTCTGTGTTTTAAATATCTTGAAATTCTCCCTCAACATGATATTATCTAAGCCATCTCGCAAAGATGTGTCATTTTGTCCAGGGAAGCAGGGGACACTGTTAATAGGAATATATGGCTCACTTTTTGAAACAGACTGTGTTGAGTATGAACTAACCAATGTCCTACTATTCTGCAGGAAGGAAGAGAGAGTGGTTCAAGGTGGAAGATGCCATCAAAGTCCTCCAGTGTCATAAGCCTGTGCATGCCGAGTATCTGGAAAAACTCAAGCTGGGTTGTTCCCCAACCAATGGCAATTCCACAGTCCCCTCCCTTCCAGAGAGTAATGCCTTGTTTGTAACCGCCGCACAGACCTCCGGGCTGCCCTCTAGTGTAAGATAGAGAGAACTGGGATGGCCTCTCCCACCAGGGCACTCTTCATGAGGAGAGAGGCTTCATTATCTTCCTTGGTAAACGTCTGAATGACACTTGCAAACTGTCTGAATTTGCCATGCAGGGTTTTCAAACAATTTGCATGTTTTTCAGATGCTTTCAAAAGAATTTTTTTTAAATAGTGTAAAATATTTTAATAAGCCAAAGCCATGCGGATTTTTTTTTTAGATGCCTTAACTGTGCCCCCCTCCCCCCATGTTCTTTTGGTTCTTTTTCACAGCATTTTTTTCCTTTTTTTTTTTTTTTTTTAATCTATCTGGCATCAGTCTGTAGTTTGCTTAGTCAGATCAAATTACTTATGGGCATATTTTCCCCCTAAATTATTTTTTCATTCACAGCATTAATGTATTCAATAACCCCTTCTGTGGTGGGAATGAATGGAAAATACTTTTGGAGTTAAAGAAATCCATCCACCCTGAAACTTGTTTGATAGGATCACAATTTTAATTCATGAATTGCAGATTTGGACTGACTTCTGCATGGTCCAATAACTATTTTGACGAGACTTAATTTCCCATTTTTCAAAATCTGTCAACTCATTTGTCTGAATTTGCACAACTGATATTATGTCACTAGTTACTTGATATGGCTGTTTCCCCCATAACTCAATAATAAACTACAGCAAGTATTTAACTCTCTACAGCAAGTATATAACTCTCTAGAGTTAGTGATTGATAGGGGAATATTGTTAGCAAAATGCATGTAGTAAATACATGTTACCATGAAAGCTGTATTCATGGAATTTGATTTAGCATGCTCAATTGCCAATTCCCTTTCTCTTTGCACAGAGTACCTTAGGAACTGTATTTCCCTCAATGTAAATTGCTCTTAAAACCCGTTTCCAGTTTTCTAATGCAGTAACACCATCTTAGTTACACTTCTGTGTTTACCAGCCTACCACAGGATGGAGTCCAACCTTCCATGCCGATGATGGCTGCCTCACAGCCCAGTAAGCTGGCCTTCTTGTGATCAGCTGTTACAGGCTGTCAGGGCACCTTAGAATGTCTCATCTTTTGTAGGTCGTTAATAGGTACTATGTCACATAACTAACTTTGGGGGCACTGGAACATACCTGAACTCAGAATTATTTCATCTTACACTGCTCTTTATACTCAAAATCAAGAATCCCATCTAAAACACATAGGTACTTGTCTGAAACTGCTGCACTCCCCATACAAGGCCGAAGTGAGGTCGGAGGAGAAACCTTTTAACAAAGGTGTGTGCTAGAGATAGTGAAAGATCATTTTTTATGTAAACTTCAGCCTTTTGTAAATAGTGACTAGTGAGTATAAGGTAGAAAATAGAGTTAAAATATCTACTCTATCAATTGCTGCTATAAATAAGAGTGCTGTTACACTTAAGGAAAATTGGTGCCATTTTGAAAATGAGATCTTGTGCCATAAATGCAGCTGAACTAAATATAAACAGTAGTTCACAAATTAATGCTGTCAAAGAAATGAGTAGAAAAACTTTTTAACCAGTGACATTTCATTCTAAATTATGCAGTATGATCAAATGTGATCAGCCAGAATTTTTATACTTTTCTTTGTACAGAGGTTGTGTATTCTGGGTGTTTTTTTAAAAGGAAACATTTGAAAATCCCACAAATTGACACTTTCTATCAGTCTTCAATGACTAAGATTTTTTTCCTTAGTAATCTCTGAAATTTCTTTAAATTATATGTCTAACACAGCAGAGAAACTGGATTGTTTTTGTATATAAGACTACTTCCACCTGAAATGCTGTCACAAGTACCTGGGGGGGGGAGGGGGGGTGTTTATCTTGTACATGATATTCTTACAGGTAATGATGCATGAACTTATTTTATAAACTCTCGGACTATGTATTTGACATGTAAAATATGTACAGTATTAATGTCAACCATCTCTTAAAAGTTATCCTATAAATATTGTTGTATAATTTTCTTTGGTCAGAAACATTTGGACTGCGTAGTGCCATTTGGGTCAGGATTTTCTTCAGTGCCATTTAACCATCCACCTGTCTTTAGTCTATGCAGCTAGCAAAAAATTGTATGATGCAACAGAGTACAGATTTTACATGAGGTGTTCTTCACCATTCTTCTGGAGCCTAGCCTAACAAAATTAAAGGCCCCAAGGAGAGATTATTTCGAGTGAGAAAAACCAACATTTCTAGGCCTAAACAGTTAAATCTACTACAGATAACAGAGTCTACTATCCCAGCCCTCCAGAGTTTTGCAGAGCTGGGACTGTCATTTGTGCTTTTCTGTGGGGAAGTTCAATAAA